AGGTGACCGAGCCACGGGCGTCTCCTGTAGTCGCGGGGACTTCCGGGAAAGGTCGGCGCCTTGAGAAGAACAAAGGTGCCGAGGTCGCGGCGAACTTGGCCATCCCGCCCCCTCCCCCTGAGCCTATCCTGCTCCCGGGGTCGAAGATTAATGACCCCTCGTTCCTTGTGTCTGACGTTGTCGACCTCGACCTCACTCACGCTTTGCGCCTCCCGCCTCGCTTCAGCCTTCCTCTGCAGGCCATATACACCTTCTTTCACGAGGACACTTGGGATGTTTTCGCCAGGGAGAGCATCCTGGACCGGCAGCGCCTGACTGTGAAGCGTCAAATCTCGGTAAGCCTCGACCTCGACTCCTGTCATTACTGCTTGTATGCGGTAGTCCTTTTCTTTTTGTTTGGGTTTCTTCATCTTAACCGCATTCTCTTTCCTTTGGAATTTAGGCCCTTGAGCTTGCTCTTCAGAATTACGTAGAGCTGGAGGCCATCCTCAAGGGGGAGAAGACGCCGGCGGCCGTCGAGAAGGAGATCACCGCCCTTCGTACAGTTCGAGACGAGCTCTCGACTGACCTGGAGGTCGAGAAGGCAAAGGTGCGGTCCCTCGAGGATAGTATTTCCACCGAAAAATCCAGCAGCTACAAGGAAGGCTTTCAGGAGGGAAGCTATAAGGGGGTTGAGACATACCTCTCGTCTCGGGAGTTCCAGGAGCCCCAAAAAGAGGCCACTTCAAGAGCCATCTCGGACTTCCTGTCCTCTGAGAACTTCCACCGCATGGTCGACGCCAGGCTTGTTGCCTTCAAGGAGTCCCAGGAGCTCAAGGACTTAATCGAGGGCTACGTGCAGCAATTCAAATCCTCGACAGACTTCGAGGAGCTCGTCAACCAGAGGCTCGAGGCCTACCAGGCCTCCGCCGAGTTTGAAGAGTTTCAGATGTCCCTGATGCAGTCCGCGGGGGAACAAATCCTCGACCGCTTCCGCCAGAAACGTCCAGACGTTGACCTATCCTTTTTGGACGAGTCTGACAGTGATGGCGTGGAGGTGGTCGAGCCGCCGCAGAGGGCCGAGGGTGTCGACCAGGCACGTAGTGGTGGGGAGCAGGCTGCGGGTGGCGACGGCGAGTAAGGAGGAGACTCTAGCCGGGGCCTTCTGTTTATATTTTTTGCTGCAACCCCCTCTTCTCTTCTTCTCTTTTTTTTTTTTTTTTTTTGCAGGGCCGGGGGGCCCAGACAATTTGTCCGGTAATTTGTAACGACCATAAGGTCGAGACCAATTTTTACTTTTTATATATGCTTTTCATATAATATTCGTGCTTTTACTCACTGTTTGTGTGGATGTTGCGTATGTGTATATTCTCTTTGAGTAAGGAGCGTTGTGCTTTTTGTTGGAGGGCCTCATTGTTGGGCCTTAGTACCCCCTTGTCGAGGCTGAGTTTGAAAAGTCGGCCTTGGCACATCACTGTAGACGCTTCGACGTAGATACAATTTGTTCGGTAATTTGTAACGACCATAAGGTCGATACCAATTTTT